AAAGGCATTATCTACATCCATTTGATGTAGCTCCTAATGGTAAGAAGCTGCTACCGCCAAAATGGTACGCACCGTAACCATCTTAGCGACCGGAGCAAATGTTTCCCCATAATCAATTCCCTCCACTTGGCGATTCCTACACACAACCAGTCGCGCTTTATATCGCTCCACCGTCCTGACACTTTTGTATTTGATTTTGTACACCCACTTGCAGTAGATAGCTTTCTTTCCGGGTGGCAAGTTCTGGATTGTCCACGTCCCTGTACGCTCAAGAGCCTGAATTTCACGTCTCATAGCATCCCTCCAAAGAGGATCACGAGCTGCCTCTCCATATGTACTCGGTTCCTTAGTCATGGTGATTGCTGCAAGAAAAGCTCGGTGCGGAACCGAAAAATGATCATATTTTATATAATGAGATAGTGAATAAGGATTACCTGAACCCGCTGTGAGAGTAGGGACGCTGATCGGGGGAGAGTTTATTTTAACCGTGTTCAACTGTACTTCGTAATCATGATGCCATGCCGGTACCTTACGAGCACGCTCACTCCATCTGGGCAGTCCATCCGTGTCATCTGCGTGTCCTGCGTCATCCATGTCGTCACCCGACATGTTGTTCTCAATCCCAGTCTCATGATCATGTCCGTTATCCACCACATGGCTCGAGTCGACTGCTTTCCTTTGTTCTGGCCGCACAACCTTTCTACATGTGTCACTGCCTTCATACGTAGGCATGCCATTGTCATCAACCCCATGCACATGTGCATGCATGTCGTTCCCTGTAGATGAGTCATGATGCGAGATATGTTCCCCCAGTTTATAGGGAAATTCATGTTCAATAAATTTCACATCTCGTGAAACGAAGTGGCGTTGGTTTTCCAAATCGTACACCTTCCAGCCCTTTTGTGAATAAGTGTATCCCAAAAATACACATTTTATACCGCGAGGTGCAAATTTATCTCCTCCTTGATTGGGCTCACGTGCGTAACAAAGACAACCAAAAACCCTCAATTGACTATACAGCGGGATCTTATTATATAATAACTCATAGTGGCTTTTATTATCTATCACGAGAGAGGGCAAACGATTAATTAAATATCCCGCGGTCAACACACACTCACCCCAAAAATCAATAGGCAAGTTTGCATGAAAACGTAGAGTTCTAGCCATTTCCAAAATATGTCTATGCTTCCGCTCCACTCTACCATTCTGCTGGGGGGTATACACACAACTGGTTTGAAAAATGATCCCATCAGTCAAAAAATATTCCTGTAGACTAACAAATTCCTTTCCATTATCACTTCTTACAATCTTCACATTTTTATCAAATTGTCGCTTAGTCATGACAATGAATTGTTTAAGAATATTTTTTACTTCACTTTTGTCTTGCATTAAGTGCACCCAAACAGCTCTAGAAAAATCATCCACGACAGTAAAAAAATATCGAGCACCGCAAGTAGACACAACACGATAGGGCCCCCAAATATCACAATGTATTAACTCGAATGGTTCAACAGCTCTAGCACTACTAACAACAAAACTGTCACGTGTTTGCTTGCCTCTCATACAAGCATCACAAACTTTATTTTCTACAGAACACAACAACGAATTATTTAAATGACCAAGCAAATGTAGTACTTTTATTGACGGGTGACCCAACCTTGAATGCCACAATCCACTTGAGTCTGAACTTCCCACTGCATATGCCTGAGCTCTATCCAGACCCCGGAAAAAATAAACCCCCCCTCGTCGTTCACCCACTCCAATCGGCATCCTCGTAGGTAGGTCCTGTATTACACACAAATCATTAGTAAAAAATACATCACATTTTCGGTTATCAATCAATTGGGCCAAGGAAATTAAATTGCACTTTAATCCAGGCACGAGCAGAACATTAGTTAATTTTAGGCTTGATCTGAGAGCCACACTTCCCACGTGGGTGGCTTCAGTACGTTCCCCATTCGGAAATACCATGGCCACAAGCGCTATACGCACCATCTCCGTCAATGCTTTATTATTCCCGGTCATATGGTACGAGGCTCCAGAGTCGAGAAGCCACTCATTATTAATTTTCATACCTGTGAGTTTTTCCCCGGAGGGAGATGCCTTACAATTTTCCATCAATTTTATAAAGGTCTGCCATTGCTCGTCGGTGAATCCCGGCTTATGCAGGACCATCTCCTTCGCTCCTTGTGCCGGTGTGCCATCTCCTTGGAGTTCACCCACATGCATGACATGGGCAGTCCCACGTCCAGTTCCTCTGCATGTTCCTCCACGACCAGCCCCGCCACGACTGGACCCTCCACGTCCTCTTCCGCCGCGAGCTCGTCCCGGGTTCTCATACCACCACTCTGGGTTGTTTCCGGTGCGTCGAAAGCAATTGTCAAAGTCATGACCAGACTTTTGACAATAAGTGCATTTAGCTCGTTCGTCCTTCCCAGCATTAATTGGTCCAGCACGTGTAGCAAAGGCTACTGCTTCATGCTTTTGTTCACGTCCCCGGGTCATATTTTGAAGCCTTTCTTCTTGTACAATCATGTTGTACACTTTAGTCAATGTCGGTAACTCATCTGCTCCCAATATGTTGGACCGCAAATTACCATAGGTCTCGGTATCAAGGCCCATCAAGAAATCATGGGTTTTCTCGTTTTCAATATATTTGATGAACAATTTTTTGAGATCACAAGTGCAACCATCGCAGGTACACTGGGGAAAATTCCGAACGCCGTCGTAGTCATCCCAAAGTGTCTTGAGTCGCCCAAAATAGGTGGTGATTGGCTGCCCTTGTTGACGGCAATTCCGAATCAACTCCTTCAATTTGTGAGTTCTCATTGCGTCTCCAACGGAAAAACGCGCCTCTATGTCGTTCCATAGGTCACAAACATTGTCCATATAAGCCAGATTAGAACGAATAGCCGGATCCGCCGAAGTCATGATCCAGCCCACCGCCATGGAGTTGACGGTGTGCCAATCTTCAAGGTCCCTTTCATTGTTCACAGGTCGTTTAATGGTCCCGTCCAGAAATCCCGATTTCCGTTTTGCACGGAACGCGTTCTTCATTGCTGTGGCCCATTCCCGATAGTTGCTCTCTCCCTTGAGAGCAACCGCTCAGATGTGTAATCCCGGAAAGTCCGAACTCGATAGGTAGTACGGTGAGGAAGGGTCATTGATTTTCCTCCGTTCACCTTGGTCACGGTTTCCTTCACCAAAGCTCCCTATCTCGCCGGCCATCTTCAGTCACGGTTTGCGTATTCAGTCGGTCCCAAGACTACCGCTCTGATACCATGTAAAAACGAGAGCAATATGGGAAAGTATTTTCTGTGTATTCGGTATGTCTTGATCCGTAGGATGCATGCCTCTATATACTACACGCATGGGTACTTTACACGATTGGAGTAGTACTGCCATGCGTAAATTAAGGATGAAAGAAAGGAAAGAATAATTGGAGAATAACACTCCTAATCTACTTTACATACTACGTATACTACGTACATAAACATTACATAATTTGTACAAATAATAATAAATAACGGCTAACGAACATTAATACACGTACTCAAAACAATGTCATTTAGATATCGAGTTTTTTATATATAAAAAGCAACTTAAAACCACTTCATTTTGGAATGGATTTTCAAATAAAACAATACAAAGCATCTTATGGCATTGAGACGAAGCATGTCACTTTCATAGTATAAATGATTATCATCCTGCTTTGAGATATGATCAAATTTCTACCACATGCCACATTGGTTGAAGGGATTTGCAAAACATACTTTGGTTGAAAACAAATGTATCTATTATGGTTTAATACAGGTTTTATCATGAAATTTGTATATCTTTAAGTTATCTAACCATGATATAAGAATGAGTTCAAATTGATATTCTACACCGAGATATGATCAAATCTTTCATATTGACTGAAAAGATTTCAGGATGTATTAAATGATGCCTTCCTTAGAATTTTAAATATATATTCTCGATGAAAGTTGTAATCATTTAAGTTAGTTTTCTAATAATAAAAAAATGAGCTTAAATGTGTAATCCTACATAAAGGTACATCGAATTTCTAGCACATACCACATTGTCTGGACATATTCACATGACCAATTTTGATCAGAAAATAAAATATTCATCAAGAAGATGACGAGTTCATGTAATATAGCTTAAAAGTTATAGTCGATTGAGTTAGCTTTCAAGTGATATAAAAACGAGTTCATATAATAATCCTAGACCGATATCTAATCAGATTATTTCTACCTGTCAAATATTGATCCATATACATAATAGGATAATATACAGGTATTCATAACAGTTTTGAAATGTCTTTTCATTGTATCATGTGTGAAGATTGTGTTAGCAATTCAGAGTTGGGGGTGATCAAGGATCCCCAAACTATGTGATATAAGGGGTTGTTAGCTTGAGATGATATCTCGTTGTTGAGTTGTTTTGAGAGATTTTGTGCAAAAGCTACGCACTCTAGGTGCCTGTGGAAATGTTTGTATGTATCTTTCTTTACATGCTACTATTCTTGTGAGCTTGTTCCTCGAGGTGGCCACTTGCCACCATGTGAATGTGAGGAGGTATGGGCTTTGGACTGCTCAGAACGGTAAAGGAAAATTTTAATCAGACCTTTGATAATGAGAATGAGTGAATGACAAAGGGCACTGGATTCCTTCCCTTTTTGTTGCATGGTTTTACTTAGAGACCTCTCCTCATTTGTTAAACGTACGTTTGGTGTTGTCTTTGGCTCCATTCTAGTTTTATTATTGTTCAATCCTTTTAGCTTTGCACTTGTATTCCCGAGGGGCAAAAACCAAAATTAATCCCAACTCAACTTGCTTGCACTTTTTAGATTACTAAATTAATACTACCTTCATTGAATATTGGATGTTTTTTTTTATTTGACACAATTATTAAAGTGATTTAAATTTGTGTAGAATAAAATAAAATGATAAAGATCACATATTTCTTGCAAAAAAGAAAACAAGACATTCATTTTGGGAGAGCCCAAAAAAGAAAATAAAACAACCAACTTTTCTGACGTAATTTGTTGTGTAGGTTTGCAGGTAACAATTGGTGAAACTGACACTCTTCACAATGTAAATTAATAGTGGAGAAAAACAAATAAATCAACACGAATGTATGTATCATGAAGGAGGGAAAATGCAGGTAGCAATCAACTCAACGATAATGTTTCATACACAAAGGAAGAACTGCAAATACATTTGTTGACAAATTCACACACAAAGAGGAATTGTTGCACAGTACAGTAGAGGAGCAGGAACCTGATGAAACAGGATTTGCTTATCCTTAAAAACCAAGACTCCACCCAGAGGAGTAGTCTTAGCATCAGTTTCCGTGGCCTCCAACTTGCAGCATGCAACAATATCCTCCATACATTATTGTTCATAACAAAACGAACCACACTCTTAACATCACAAACATGCTCACACAACATAAAAGGACAGACCTTTTTTATTTTTACACAACACAAAGGCGCATGACAAGCATCATCAGAGGTAACTTGTTGATCCGGGCTCCTTGGGATCTATAGATGGCACGTTGCCTGTGAAAATTTTAGTTTCAGGACTGGTAGAGCTGTGTTCTCTCAGGAGAGAAAAAGAGTTTCAGCAAGCAGGCAACATTTCAGGTCGCCTGCAAAAACACACAATTATATATGAGGTGAAAAAGGTGTCCACCGTGGCCCGGTGGAAAACAACCAAGTCGCTGAAACTACATGATGAACCCATAGAGGATATGGGAGAAAAACCACATGCATGCGTGCACATCTAGGACCCGATCAACAAGATGTATGATGCTTCCATGTTGCATCAATATGTGCCCTTGCTTACGAGAGGATATCACACCTCCATAAGCTCTCCACGAGCAAATCAATCGCACTGCCGCTCATGGATTTGCAGTGTTGAAGATTCAAACCAAGCAGACTCTTCCCTAGCTTCCTAAGTGAAGGAACGCTCTTCCTTGACACCATTGTGCAACCCGACAAGGAAAGAACCTGCAGATTCATTTGCACACCATGATGAGACAACACAGCGACACCCGAATCAGTTATCGAACATTTTGAAACGTCGAGATCGTTAAGAAAAATGCAGTTCTCGGCAACTGCTTCCATGCTGGCATCGGTAACCTTCCTGCACCCATCAAGGTTCAACACCTCGAGTGTCTGTCCGTGCAGCCTAGCCAGCGCTACCACCACTTCATCCGTCAAATTCAGGCACTCGGTCAGATTCACCTTGACAAGCCCAGCCTTACAGCTCTCCAGAAGAGGGAGAAGGGCAGTATCCGTTATCCCGTAGAGGCCGCTCAGATCTAAGTGATGAAGTTGAGGGCAGAGCTTGCCCACTCTAGCTAGACTAGTGCTTCCGAAACCCGGGCAGTTCCGTATAGACAAAGATTTTAGAGTTTCGCACGGTGCCAGGACGACAGTTTCTGGAGCTATTATGTCCTTCATAGCCATACACTTCACCACGCAAAGCGACTTTAACTTCCTGCAGTTTGAAACGGCATACAGAATGCCGGTCTGGGTGATCCTGTTGCACTCCTCTAACTGCAATTTCTCTAAGGATTCAGCTGCTTTAGTGAATGCAACAAGCCCATGGTCGGACACAAAGCAGCACTTGCGGAGACACGTCAGTTTTACATTCTGGCATCCCGTACCCAACGCTTCAAGGCTCACATCTGTCAACCCCCTACATGATGAGATTGCCAAAGAAGACAATGCCGTCAAGCCTCGGGCATTACCCATGACCCAAAACCCCTTCTGGCTCACATTATGAAGCAAGTTGAGGGTAAGGCAAGTGATGGCTTTGCCGTAGTGTCCAATGACAGCAAGTGAGAAATCAGTGATGTTCAAAGCATGGAGCTTCACTTTTGTTAAGACAGAAGAAGCGTACGGTGAGGAAAGAAGACTTGCCACACCCTGATCGCCAACTAGAGGGCAGTCCTTGATGGAAACGGACTGCAATTTTGTACAGTGCCTTCCGATCGCTTGCAGTCCCTCGTTTCCGATATTTGAACACGATTCGATGGTCAATGAGGTTAGGTTTGGACACTTTTCTGCAATTGCAACAAGACCTTTGTTAGAAATAGAAGGACACTGGCATAGATCAAGCTTCTCCAATGAATGGCATTCCCTGGCAATCTCTAAAAGACTCTCATCTGCGACATTAGGTACATTCCACAATGATAGGACCCTTAGGGAAGGGCAGCCACGTGCAATTGCTGATAAGCCGGTATTAGTGATTCCACGAGAAGTGTTGCTCCCTCGGACATAGAGCTTTCCAAGTCCCCCTCGGGATGAAGTTCCCACTGCCATAGCAGCAAGTCTAACATCGGTGGCTTTCTTCCCTTCAACAGACCTGGATAGGTACCCGTCACATTCTACTTCAATATCTTCATTAGCAGGGGACATTTGCAGCTCATGTGAAGCCCCCGCATTGATTTTATCACATGTACGGACACCACTGATGAGCATGAGCCAACGCTTGGAAACGCAGGCAGAGGAGCTCCTCTCTCGGCCTCCCGGCAATCGTCTAAAGATCTCAAATAGGCATTCATCAGGAAGGGTTTCGATGGATGGTTTCCTTGTCTGATTTTCCACCACAAACGGGCCGCTGATTCTTGCCCTCTTTCTAGCCGGGCAATAAACATCCCCATGACTGAGAGATAACAGAAGGCCCAGATCTGCTGAACACATTGAGCTCCCAGCAAGGAAGTCATCATCACCTGAAAATCCAGATCCCGAACTAATTAAAAATAGTAGTTTCAGTTTAACAGCATCTATCTCATACGTAGCATCTAACACTCACAGCAAACAAATCTTTGTTTAAAGAATAGACAAATCCCTCTAGATTGCACTCATTTGGATCAGTGTGCGGCAATTTAAAATTGAAACAATGTTTACTATAGTTTGGAAGATGTGTATCCTTACTGAACTCACAATATAAATCCATATAAGGAATGAGTTTGGAGACTAAGAAACTCCAACAATTAGATAGATCTGGGAATTAAATCTTTCGAAGAAGCTGCACACTGTAGACGGCAATCTTATATTGAAATTCCGAACACAATAAAGTCAAGTGAGCACATCCATAAAACAATTACCAAAGATGTATTTCGTTTGTTCATCATAGAAAGAAAAAAGTCTACCAATTCAATTGGTTTCCAATAATGTATCTTTCTTTCTCCAACAAACAGAATTTCTAATTAACTAACTTTGCAAGGTATGCACTTTCCCCAGTTATAGGAACTTGCGTCTACACTTGTGTCACTCACTATGTGCAAAGGAGCAAGGTAAATCAAGAAAAATAAACCAAGGATAATTCATTCCACACCATAAAACTAACAAATAAATTCATCAAAAAAATTAAAACATAAAATTTCAAACAAAGAAAAGTACCTCTGTGACTGTAATTAACAAGCGTAGGCATATCTGCTTCTTTTCGGAAGATAATCCCCCACGGAGAGCAAAAAAGATGAGAGTGTCAACGAAAAGCAGCACAACCCAGATTACGATATAAAGCAAGATTAGCATTCCAGATCCGAATTCCCAGAAATTGTAAGAAAAATCCCCACTTGGAGGAGGGGAAAAAAGGATAGCAAAAGAAAGGTGGAAGAAGATACACGGTTGTTGAAAGACAGTATGTGTGTGTATTTATTATTATGATTATGAATGAATATAGATTGGAGGAGGGGAAAAAAGGATAGCAAAAGAAAGGTGGAAGAAGATACACGGTTGTTCAAAGACAGTATGTGTGTGTATTTATTATTATGATTATGAATGAATATAGATAGTACTCCCTCCGTCCCTTATAACTTTGCCAACTTTCCTTTTTTGGATGTCCCATTAACTTTGCCACTTTCCCTTTTAAGTATAGAATTTGTGGTTCCAGTTAATTCTCTCTCCTTTGCACAAATCTCAACCACACAGTTTTTACTTTATTAATCCCGTGCCGGTCAAACTTGGCAAAGTTATTAGGGACAGAGGGAGTATATGCATATGTATCTACTCGTATAATAATAAGAGGTCATGGTCAAATTTATTTTCTAAAATGAAAGTGTGTTTGGTGAGGTGTCAAGAGCATAGTTAGATACAAAAACCACCATCACCTGTTTCCTCTCGCTCTAACAGTGTTCAATGTATCATTCCATAAAACTGCTTGTTCCAGTCATCTTCAAACCCCGCCACTCGGTACCCGAGCCCACCCCCTCTTTTTTATATATATATATATAATTATAATTATTATTATTATTATTATTATTATTACTCCCTCCGTCCCATTAGAAGGTTCCCGCTTTCCTTTTTTGGACGTTCCATTAGAGGTTCCCATTTCCGTTTTGCTATGGGAACCTTCTAGCACGACGGAGATATTATTATTATTATTATTATTATTATTATTATTATTATTATTATTATTATTATTATTATTATTATTATTATTATTATTATTACTACTACTCCGTACTATTGTTTTTTTGAATTATTATTACTATTATTACTATTTTTTCTATTATTATTATTATTATTATTATTATTATTATTATTATTATTATGAGTTGTTACAGTATACTCTACTCTGCATTTCAGAGTATAAAGTAACGGTTCATATATCGTGGGAGCAGCCAGGGCCGGTCCTAGAAAAACGGATGCCCTGTGCAAGAGAAAAAATTAGTTATTGATGGAGTATATGGCCCGGGAACCCCCGGCCCACAGACTCCCGCTACTCCAACACAGGCCCAAGAAGCACAAGTGGCCCAAAGCACAGCGGCCCAAGCTCAAAGGAGCCCACGGTGTACCTGGGGTAGCCTTCGGCAATATGGCCGAAGGCTCCAAAACTCACAGGACAGCCAGATTTGAGCAGACGAAGCTACTGAGAGAAAATGGCGGAAATCAAGAGCCTTCGGCACTTTCGTTCCCTCGGCATCAGGGAAGCCTTCGGCTACACAGAGCCCTCGGCCGCAGAAAGAGCCTTCGGCTAACAGCTCAATCATCGAAGATTCCCTTTGGAGACAAGCAACCACCGCATTTAATGCGGCGTCACGTCCAACCACCGCATTTAATGTGGTGCACATGCGAGTGCCAGTGCCACCCCGATTGAGGTGACCCCTCGGCCGTTAGATTACTGACACGTGTACTCTCATCGCATTTATTGCTGCTATAAATAGCATCCTCTATTCCTCTTGTAAAGAACCAGAATATCTCGAGTTCATTAATACAATCGACTCTCTCTCTCTCTCTTACTTGTTTGCTCTGATTTCTCTCTAGGTTATTCTCATAATAACCCCTCGGATAAGCTACCCCCCGGGTACGCCATCCATCATTTGGTGCTCTCGTTGAGAGGTCCGAACAATCAAGTAAGAAACCCTCCCTTTCGCCAAACAAAACACCTACCAAAATGGGAAGAACTCGTGGTCAGTCCAAAACCTTCGAGGAAAACCACGTGGCCCTCGGCGAAACTAACGGGGCCGAGGCCTCCAACAGGCTCTTGGTTCCCAAGGGCGGTACTATCCTCGAATTGGAGCAGGCCGCTACTGACCTCCGCCAGCAGCTACAGAAGGCTGCCCGGATGCCCGAATCGGTCTTGATGCCCGAAGGAAGGACTGAAGTGAGAACCAAGTTCCCCCTTCGGCTCCAACCATCGATCTTCAGGCCGCTTTTGCGGCCTTCATCCAAAACATGGCCCTGAATTCCGGTGCCTTCATTTCACAGGCACCCCTCCAACCCTATTTCGGAGGAAATGTTATCCATTTTCCTCCACCCACTCCTCTGTTCAACAAGCCCACCATGCGGGTTGGCAACGCCGAGGGGCCCCGAACCTCTGCCCTCGAGAGATTAGGGGAGGTTCCGGAACGCCAAGGGGTCCAAGACCGCCTCGGTGGCAAAGCCATCAGCAGGCCACAAGAGAGTGGTGGTTCCGTCTCGGGGGCCGAGGAGAGACCTCCCCCTCGGGATAAAGGCAAAGGGCTCCTTCATGCGGATGACGCCAGACACCAGATCAACCACGCCCAATCATTCAGGGCGAAGTCCCAGGGGCGGCCCCAAGGGATCACAAGAATAAGATCATTGAGGCCCTCTGGCGTCAGCTGGAGGAGAAGGAGGCACGCCAAACGCCCCCCGCTTCGACTTTGGAGGCGGTTCCAAAGTACGCCGCCATACTGGCACAAACGGAGGAGATGAAGCGAAAGTTCGCCGAAGGCTCAGGTGAACCCCTCATCCAACTCCGCACAAAGACAGCCTTCACCCCAAGGGTGTTGGCGGCCCAGATCCTCAACAAGTATCGGGGACAACCCATCAAACCATATGAGGGAAAGACGGATCCCCAAGAACACTACAGCAGGTATCAAAATAGCATGATGATGATGGGTGCATTGGATGATATTTATGCCGTTGGTTCCTTTCCACCTTGGAGGAGCCGGCGTATGAATGGTTCAACCGGCTGCTTGAGGGCAGCATCGATTCTTAGCAAGAGCTTGCTCACCGCTTCCTCACACAATTCGCCGGGAGGCACCGATCAAAGAAACACTTCTCCCACCTTTTGAACGTAAGGCCACAGAAGGAGGAAACCCTTCGGAATTTCCTTGAACGCTGGAGGCTGGCCTCCATCGAAGTCGATGGAGCCGACAACAGGACCTTGATGGCCCTCTTCCACACGATCCTCCGCAACGGTAACTTTTCCAGAAGCCTTATTACTGACCCCCCCCCACGATTATACAAAAGCTCTCCAGCGGGGGGACCGATATGCTGAGGCCGAGGAGATCGAGAAAGATCTCCGCAATCCGGAGCCTTCACACAAAAGCGAGGGCAGCAATCGCCCCGGGGGGGCATCCCCTCCGGCGAACCGTGAGGCTCTATACAATAACCGCCCCTGGAATGGCCAAGCCAGATCCGGAGGCGGCTACAAGAACAATTTGAGGGCTTGGGCACAACCCACACTCTTGGAGCACCCACGCACCCCTCTGACACATCCCATCAGCGTCATCCTAGACTATGCGGAAGAGAGGGGCCTCGTAGAGCGAGATTCCCGCGCACCCCTCGAGGTATACGCCATCAACCCCAACGAACCATATTGTCGTTTTCATCGCCATCAAGGGCACATGACTGATGACTGCCACCAGCTGAAGGCAGCCATCGAGAGATTGATACAGGCAGGCCATTTGTCTCAATTTGTCAGGGCCCTCCTCCTCAGGGGGGCCCTCTCCACCAAGGGCCCCCGCCGAAAGCAAACTAGTGGGTAAACCCAAACACCATTCCCTTGGGAAATCCACAGGGGAAGAAGCGTGAAATTGGGAACCTCAGCGAGGAGGAGGATCCCCAGCACTAGTATAAGCGCCACGTCCACATGATCACTGGAGGCAACACCGGGGGTGATTCCACAAGCCAAAGAAAAAAGTGGGCTCAATCCCTGTATGTTGGGGAAGTCAACCACATGCCCCCGACCAAAAGGTCGAGGGGGAACCCATCTTCTTCACGGATGTGGATCTTCCCTCGGGCTCTCTACCGTACAGGGATGCCCTCGTCATCCGCACCGAGATCAACAACACCATCATCCTTTGCACTTATGTTGACACCGGTAGCTCTGTCAACGTCATGTATCTCAGCACCCATCGAGAACTTGAGCTCGATATGGGATCCCTTTGGCGGATCAAGACACCCCTCTCCGGATTCACAGGGGATCGCATTGACGCCGATGGCATCATCTCCTTGATAGTTGAATTCGGCGACGGATTCCATAGGGCCAAGCTCGAAGTGGAATTCGTCGTCGTCAACCTCGACTGCGAGCATAACATCATCCTCGGTCGGCCCGCCCTCGAGGACTTGGAGGCCGTCATCTCCATGAGGCACCTTTGCTTCAAGTTCCCTACACCCAGCGGCATCGGTTACTCGAGGGGGAATCAAAAGCTCTCCCGGGCTTGCTACCTTCAACTAAACAAGAAGGTTAGTAAAACTGAACTTCGTGTTGATACAATCACAACCGCCTTGGGAGAGGAAGAAGGCAGGTCTAGGGCGGAACCTGTCGAAGACACTGAAGATTTTGTACTCGATCCGGCCAAGACGGAGAGAGTCTTGAAGGTTGGAGCCAAGCTCCCCGAAGACTTGAAGACCGGCATCACCGAAGCCCTCCGCGCCTACTCCATTGTTTTTGCGTGGGGGCTGGAGGATATGTCGGGGATCCATCGAAGGGTCATCACTCACCGCCTAGCGGTGGACCCTTCGGCAAAACCTGTACAGCAAAGAAGAAGGCCCCTCTCGGCCGAGAGGAGGGACTTTGTCAAGAAAGAGGTCGCCATGCTCCTCTCCATCAAACACATCAAGGTGGTGAAATATCCTTCGTGGTTGGCTAATGTGGTACTAGCACAAAAGCCACCCACCTTTCCGCATGTGCGTGGATTACACACACCTGAATAAGGCATGCCCTATGGATCCTTTCCCTCTGCCAAACATTGATCAATTGGTAGATGAAACAGCGGGATGCGAGATCATGTCTTTCCTTGATGCTTTTTGAGGATATCACCAAATCTACATGCACGAGGGGGACGCTGAAAAAACTGCCTTCATGACTCCCGAAGGCATCTTCTGTTACCTTATGATGGCCTTCGGCCTAAAGAACTCTGGCGCTACTTACACCCGCATGGTGGCCAGAGTCTTTCAAGCCGTCCTAGGCCGCACCATGGAAGCATACGTTGACGATATGATCGTTAAAAACAAGAAATCAACCACCCACGCCGAGGACCTCCAAGAGATATTCGCCATCATGCAAAAGTTCAATCTCCGGTTGAATCCTAAAAAGTGCA